TTAGTTTTATGTTTCCAATAGAAGATGACAGGGAGTTTTCTTATGCATTTGTTCTCAACCGCTTGAATCCTTCTCTCTGTATCTGCCAACAGTGTCCACATTTCACATCCATACAGCACAGTAAACTTCTACTTTGAGTGTCTCTTGAGCCTTGTATTGAGTGAACATTAGTTAAACAAAACTCCCTCCCCAGCAAAAAAGGTGGGCACTTGTTTTGGTATTATAAAAGACAATGCACAATGTTTTTGCTTAAGACATACCCTCCCGTTGAATGCATTGTGGGATAAGATAATATTACGCTAATATCCATATCTCATTTTTTTGATGAAGCTTTAATAAAAGCGAAACATGTTAGATTGATAAATGTTTCCTATTTGTTCTTTATCTTATCATTCGGTCGGATTTCGATCCATATTTGATTTCAACTCATCATGCATTAGTGTTTATATTCCATTTTCCCACCTTATAATTTCCTATACGATGTGCGTTGTGGTGTAATGGATATCGGCTCAGAGTGAGAATTCGAAGAGGCGAGTTCGAATTCCAGTCAAGTTTGTTAGATTCATTTACGCAAAAATACCCTTGGGAAAGATATGAATCTATCTCTTCTCACAACAATGGGTTGACTACCAGGACAGACTGGGTTCTTTAGCCTTTGTTGGCAACCAGTCTACCGCAGAAAGAAATGTCAACTTACTGCGGGAAAAATCTGCCTCGTCAGTCATATATCGAAAGATACATGGTCACCCAATCACGTATGGCACTTAACTTACTGACTGAATTTACTATAAACCATTAGAACTGCGGCTGTTTTTACGATCAATATGCCCCTAAATGTTTTTTTTAGTATGTCTGGGTTAGATAGGCTTGCATCTACAAGGCGAGACGCTTCTGATTAACCTGTGTACAAACTGAAGCTTGTTTTAGTGTAAATATTTTTCTTGCAATATAACATAGATAGAAAATCATAAAGTCATATATGCAGACTTCGCGCGTGTATTTTTTTTATTTCTGTTCCAACATTTAACTTTTTAAGACATTTTGGACAAATCGTTTTTCATCTTGAATTCTTTTTATTTTCCTTATTCCGCTCTGTTTTTCTTTTTCTTTTTTGGCGCCATCTTCATCTAAATTTCTTTTCTGCGAACCTTTTGCTGTTTCTCTGAACCATTGTATATTTTTTACCAATTTAACTATGAATGAAATGCATCGTTGAATTGTTTGTAAAACATTAAAATAATTATTACAAAGAAATAATATTCGATTTCTATATTAGAAAATGATTAACAATAAACTATCTCTGTTTGTACTATTGTTTCGGTTCGAAATTCCAACAAATATATAAAATATAAATAATTCCAACAAATATCACTTGAAGAAGGCCGGAGCGTAGAACGGCTGAAACGTCGTGAATGTGAAAGTAAAGATGAGGACAGAAATCCGAACAAGGTAAATAGTGTAAATAGTTATAATACCTCATCTGAGAAATATAGACAGATCCTAAAGAAGGCCGGAGCGTTCAACGGCCGAAACGCCGTGAATGTGACAGTAAAGATGAGGACAACACTCTGAACAATGTAAATATTGTAAATAGTTACAATCTCAGAAATATAGACAGAATAAACTATTTGGCGAAATTTCTGAATTTAAAATATACACCTTTTAATTGCTGAACAATCGTATCTGAGTATGCCTGTCTCCTAGAAAATCCCTTTTGCAGACGCTTTCTATGGCACATTTCACTCACAGAGTCCATTATGTGGTTTATACTGCAGCTATGCTGAGCGGGCCTTAGTTACACTATCAGGGAGAGAGCGGGTTATCTAGCGTGATCAACAATTTGAACAAGGCCAGCACGATCAAACTCTCGGTCACGATGACTTGTGATTTCGCGCTAGTACGACCATCGACGGTCCATTTTCATTTATCTAATTTCTCTCACAAGACTTGGGTCAACCGGTGGTATGGTCTTCAGGTACTTTTCAAAGATACCGCACGCTGGGATCGCCTCCTCCAGACCTATAATATCAGGAAGTCACCTTCCTGAAAAATCGACCATGGTCGAACCCGGGTCTCAGGCTTGGAAAACGGACGTTCTAACCAATCGGCCACGTGTCCCCACAACTTCTAATCAGAGCCAAATGACACTAATTGTTCCAGAATGTTTGACAAGTGTATTCCTATTCTCATCGATGTCAAGAAAATTACAAATTGTTTAACGAAATTGCCTTTTGCGAAACATTGATATTTTAAGCTTTTAACATAGCCAAGTTTAAAAAGTTCAGTCATGAAATGACAAAAAATATTGTATGAACATGTGGACAAAACGGGTAAATTCGAGAAAATTTCTGTCTGAATTTTTGGATGAGAAGTTATCATTATTTATAACAGCCGGACTATTTCCCTCATCTTTGTTGTTGTTGATACAACTTTTCGACCGTTCTACCCTATGGCCTTCATTAGGTGTATATATAAATAATTTTTAAAAGGGTAAATTTGTTTTCATTTTAATTGCATCCAAAAACGATATTTTAACTATTTTAGATTATGAAAATATAGAAAAAAGGCAGTAAAGCAAATGTTACATTTCTAAATTTATTACTTTTTAAAAGTATGATACTCCTTGAAGCACTTCATGCGCTTTGGAGTTGTTATCTCTTTGCACCAACAGTTGTTACACTGTTTCTTGTTGAGATCAATGTATGTTACTGTCTTTTGCTTATTTTTGAAGATTTATTTGCAGGTAAATACTCAGAAAAATGACGTAAACTCATGAATCCAAGAATTTCCGTGTCGTTGAAAAACAAAAAAAAAAAACAAAAACAAAAAATTGATTGATTTCTATTGAAACATCAATTGATGATCGTCTGATATCAAATCTTTTTCCAATCTCTATCACCCTTCTCGGTTATCCACTCAAATTCTAATAATTCTGTTATCTATATTGTGTGGAACTTTCCAGAAACTCCCGTAATTTTTGGTATTCTTTTTTTGGTGCGTCTAATATTATGGACGTGATCCTTACGCTCATAGCTTCCCAACTTCCTGTAATGCCTTTGTATCATTTTAAACTCTCATTCTCTTTTTTATCCTGTTTGTATCCCACCATCAGTCATATCCTTCGATGTGACAGATCGTATTCAGATTCTGTTTTCTTGTCGGAATATTTTCGTGCTTTTTAATCTGAAAATGAACATGGAATTGACAAGATTTTATTACTCCTCTCATAATCTTCGCCGTTGTTTTCGTTCTTCCGATTATTATTATTATTATTATTATTATTATTATTATGACCTGCCCCCAAATCTTAACCAAAGACTTCAAGAGACAAGTTTTTTTTTTTATCAGAAAATACAAACATATGTGGTGCCATATAATCAGAGATAAATATGTCAATGTGGCCCACTGTATGAAGAGAAATCTACTCAAGATATAAAAAGTACCCACATTTCCTCGAGGCGGTGTAATGGTTAGCAAGCTTGGCTCGCTAGAACAATTACGACTGACTAGTGAGTTCGATCCTCACTGGGTGCCCCCTTATTTCGGCCTTGTGCCACATCTAAGCTACGCTTGGAAAATCACTTGGCCCCCTCGGCGTGGTGTAATGGTTAGCAAGCTTGTCTCGCTAGATCAGTTATGACTGAAAAGTGAGTTCGATCCTCACTAGGTGTCCCATACTTTCGGCCTTGTGCCACATCTAAGCTACGCTTAGAAAATAACTATAAAAAGTACCCACAAGTATGATATATTTTTGCCATCCAGGAATTTGGGAGGGGGTTACCAAAATTTTCATTCATATATTTGTTTGCTTTTTTCATATAATTTCCAAATCTTCAACATAAACAGATAATCATGTTCTAATGAGGTACCTCATTCTCTCTTTTTCAATCTTGAGGTCCTTGTATTTATTAAAATTCTCAAATATTATCAAAGATGCATTCTTGTCAGTTGCGACTGCAACATCCATCAGAAGATATGTTTTCAACATGAATTTTCGCAATTATTTGCCTGGATTTCCCTATCAGTCTGATTCTTCTTCTCCTCCTCCTCCTCCTCCTAATAATAATAATAATAGTAAGAGTAGTGATAATAATAATGATAAAAGTAGTAGTAGTAATAGTAGCAGTAATAATAATGATAATAATCGTAGTAGTAATAATGATAATAATAGTGGTAATAGTAGCAGTAATAATCATAGCAGTAGTAATAATAATAGTCGTAATAGTAGTAGTAATAATAAGAGTAGTAATAATAATGATAATATGGTAATAATGGTAATAGCAGTAGTAATAATAATAGTAATAGTAATAATGATTATAATAGTAGTAGTAATAATAGAATAGTAGTAGTAATAGTAGTAATAGTAATAGTAGTAATGATAATAATAATTGTAGTAGTAATAATGATAATAGTAGTAGTTAAAATTTTGTAGTAGTAATAATAATGATAATAGTAGTAGTTAAAATAGTAGTAGTAGTAATTTTGTTGTAATTTTCTGTTATTGTTGTTGTAACTTAGTAAACTCTGTTATTCTGAAAGTCTTCCGTAATTCTTTGTTTCTTTGTTGATTTTCTTCTCTAAATTTTCTTTTCTTTTTATTGATTCCAATTCTTTTTAGTTGGCTTTTCATTCCTTTCTTACCATTTCTTTGTCTTTTTGCTTTTTTCTTCATGAATCTTCTCGATGTCTGCTTTATTCTTTTCATTTAATTCAGATACTAATATCCTCTTCTGATGTATCCTCTCTTTCAAGTTTGGCACCTGACCGCACAAATGGTTTATTTAAAAATCTCTCTCGAAAAGCGGTAAAGATCTTAATCGGAGCTCTTTCACGCTCATGTTTCTTGTCGGTTACTTTGGCGGGCTCAGCTACGGAGACAGCGTCTTCATTCACAGCGCCCTCAACGGACCGGTTTTCCAACGAGGGCGAAGCGCTCAGAGCAAATGACTTTTCTTCGGGAGAAGTCGGAGCCGAAGTTGGTGACGAGATCAAATTTTGACTCAGTGAAACGGAACAGAAATCAGATGACAGCCACGAACTCGTTGACGTCGTTGGACAAGTGATAATGGACGATGAAGAAAAAGACGATGATGACGAAGAAGAGTAAACTGTAAGATGGAGGCGAGACAAATCCGGAAATTGTGGGGATATTGAGAGTCTGATGGGAATATTGGTGTTGTGGGAGGTGTAGGTGGCTGCGGTGGAAGTGGTGTTTCTGGACGAGGAAAAAAGGACATTTCCATGTTATCGACGCAATCACTGTGTATTTCGTTCTGTGAATTTTGATCTGGATCTTGATCTTTGCTAAAATCATCCTCACTGCTGCTCGACTCAGACGAATATTCTTCATCACTTCCGGTAGAAAGAGTTAACGAACCTGGAACAGAAATGAATTTAGAAATGAATTTATAAATAACATTTATAGATTTATATGGGATTTTTGATAAAGACAGAAAGGTTAAAACACTATAAGATAAATAAATGGATATCAAATATTTTATTAGCATATGTTCGGATAATCTAACGTCTACAGTTATAAATAATACTGAGAGAATTAGAAGTCCTATTAGGATTCTTTATTAATGGTCACAATCTTAATATATGATATGCAGTTGACAGTTTTCATTGCAGACTCGGAAAGTAAATTAAAAAAGTTTCCACAGAAGGCGGCGAAGTATAAACTACAAGAAGACATAATACACAGTTATCAGCAAAAGGATGAGTCCAAAATGAAAAATTACAAATCGGGGATACTAAAATCAAACAAGTAGAAACATTTAAATATCTGGTAATTGGAAGGAAAATGCGACACTGAGATCTGAAGACACTAGGGATGGCCAAAGATGCATCCCAAAAGCTGAAACAAAAACATTTCGTTAGAAACAAAGAAAAGAGTACTGAACTGTTACGTGATGCCTATAAGTAAATGTTGGACGATCTCCCCAAAGATGAAGAAGAGACATGAAGCAACAAAAATGTTGTTCTAAAGAATACAATGGACCGAACATGTGAGCCACGACGAGCTTTTAGAGAAAAATGGAAACAAAATGGAAACTTATACTTAACATCAGGAAGAGGCGGTTGAAATTTCTGGGAAGGAAAGGAGGGCTTTGGAAAATCTAATATTCACAGGATAGATTGAAGGAAAGAAGATCCGAAGAAAGCAGCGCTTAACATATTTGATGAGATTGAGTAAATATATAGTAGAACAGGGTTTAGCAGAAATAACAGAAAGATAAAACTTATTAAGAGCTACAAGAGACAGGAAGTTGTGGAGGATCATGATCGCATGCGTCTTGAAGGGACATGGCACATAACAGAAGAACCATGTCTAAATTCTCAAGTTTGTTACGTTATTTCACGCTAATGTCCTGAGGAAATACGCGAATCACTTTTCTCCCAGCTATGGGTTAAATAGCAAGTCAGATGATGTTCCTTAGCCTCTCAAAAATGGTTCCTCAAATCTTGACAATTTAATTCTCAGAACGGCCGTGTGAAACCAAAGTTTGCTTTCCTGGTCACTATTGGCTGCAATCAGCTTCAGGTACTACCCTGGTGAAACTAGAGACGACGGTGATCAGACAAACTTTGTTATGACAAATATATTCCGGGAATTGTAAGCTTGAATGTGATGCTAGCAAAATGGATAATGGCTCGGAATTATTAATCGGAGAGCCGAGTTCTAATTCCAGTTGTTTCGTTATGTTCACTTACATGCCAATACCCTTGTGAAAGGTATGAATTCACCTCTACAAGCTATGGGTTAATTAGTATCAGTAAATCAATATTATCTCCCCCCACCCCCAAAAAATTATTACAATCTAAAAAATATTTTCTGGCTTTAAATAACCTGCAGAGGGTTGCTACGCCTTTGTAACTCCTTGTATATGAAATGAACGTACCCCAAAGAAAAACAGCCAGAACTATGTTAATCGATAATATCACAATCCTCGAATAATTAATCTAACTTTGAGGGTTTAAAAGCATCAATAATTTTAAAATTGCTTGAAAAATTACCCAAGTTCATTTCAGAAATGCTGAGACATTTTGAAGTTTCGCTTTCTGCACCAACGCCCGGTTCTCGTGGGTACTGGAGGAGGGCTTTTAATTTTCGCTTTTCGTGTAGCTCTTCAGATATCCGTTCCAAGTTTTTAAGAGCACTCGAATATTCTGTCTTTGCTTCTTGTAGCCGTTTTTGTAAAGCGATTACATTTTGTTTTTGTTGCTGAAAAGAAATAATAATTGAGAATAAAATTGTTCGTTTTGTTTCTGCTATAAATTTAAAACGTTCCATCTTTCTAGTTTTATTGCTTAACAAAATAACAATTATTTATACGTATTGTTTATAATAAATATAGTCTTGATGAATTATATCTTTTTCCAGATTAATTTAAAAGAAGAATAACAGTTAATGGTAAAAAAAATAATGTCGGGGTGGGGTGGGGGGTTTGGCTAGCACCTTTGACGGAGGAACAGTCGTACGCCTTTGGGAGTAGTTCATCCTTGCTGATCTCCAAACAGTGAATAACTTACCTGTCGATCAAAATAGCTGTTTTGATGCAAGTGGTGGGCAAACAAGATGAAGGTCGTCGACTGGTCCAAAGGCTCCATAATAATGGATCTGTCAGCTTTATTTGCATGTGAACAATGGAGAGAGAGGATGAAATCTCCTACAGATCAAATGGCCATGAACACTGTGTCAGCAAATATGTTAAAAAGCATGAGAACCTGGGCATGACATGTAGAAGTCCTACTACAGCTTGAAGTCTCTGGATGTAATGATTCCTCGTGTCACGGGATAAAGACTCCCTGGGCTGCGAGAGTGGGATTACGACGAACTCTTCACGCACACGTCAAAACGAATATATATATATATATATATATATATATATAAGGTATATATTATTATATATATATAAGGCATATATTATATATATATATATATATATATATATATATTTGTGAAAATATATAGAAAATAGGAAAGAACTGGTTAGGTAGATCCAAAGTTCCTTCGTATTTTAGATATTATTTTTAAAAAATAGTGCTCGATACAAATGTAGAGCGTAAATATAATTATTTATTTAAAAATATGATTCCAACTCGCGACATAAGAGGTCTCATGTTTCAAAACAAGAGCCGAAAACTTCAATATAATTATTTGAATTAAATTGAGTTAAAGAAAGCTCTGTTCCATCTTCAAGCGAAATTTTTTTTGGAATAACTTATTTCAGAAATTTACGTGTTTTAATAATTGAAATCAAAATTTCCATGGTAACAGCTAGTGCGAATTGTTTAAATTGGGTAGGCGTGTGTTGGGTGTTAATAATAAGTATCAGTATAGAGTTACTTTCATAGATGTCAAGTCAGGGTAAGGTGGGGGTGTCTAAATTTGAAACGGAAGATGTTTTAGCCTAGTCTGGCTTACGTGTCTACGGAGATTTATTTATTTTTTTATTTTATTTCTTTATGAAAGGGATTTGTGCATATAAAAACAGCCGTAACTTTTGTTTTTTGACGACTTCATAAAGGATTTTCTTTTTTTTAGGGTATTTAAACTATTTATTTTGTCTATGGATTATAAAAGTTATTATATTGTATGCTTGTTTTTAGCTAATCATTCAACCCATAGATTTGATGATGACGACAGAAAACCGTTAACTCATGTCTATTGTTTAATAGATTATTATTATTTAGAAACTTAATAATATGCAGCTTCTCATGGACGCACAAAGGTCATGGGACATCCCAAGTTTTACATGTTCTAGTCCTGTTTATAATTTTCCATTTTACTTTAGGCGTCCTATTTATTTCCTTCAGATGCCAAAAATATTTAGATAGGGAAGTCTGGTTTCTTTTATTTATATTGTTGAAAGAGCACTTATGCTGCCTCCATCTAGCTTTAAAATCATTCTTCGTGGACCCATATATATATATATATATATATATATATAAGGTATTGGCAGGCGTAACGTACATGCTAACTAAATAATAATAATAATAATAATAATAATAATAATAATAAAGCACTGACGCTACACCAAGAGTGAATCTAATGACTTAACTGATTGCAGGTGCAAACACATTTTAAATAGCTAGTTAAATAGATATGAATCAAGGGAGACAGACAGGCAGACAATAAAAAAACTGAGAAAAATATATATAGAAGAATAATGATAAGACACATTTGAGCATTTTTCAGGACTTGCTTTTATCATAATGGTAAATATTATTAAAAGGATATCGTTTTCATCTCTTTTGGTTATTGTTGAGAAATTTATTATATATATATATATATATATATATATATATATATATATATATATATATATATATATAGTTGTGGAAAGAAAATCCGTACTGAAAATTACTTATAACTTTTAATATCACTCGATTTGCACGAAACAAAATATATTGTGATCCTTTAAGTAGTAGAATTTAATTGGTAATTTCTATTTTTATTTCAGAGTCACGAGTGTAGGCCAGAATGGCATTGCTTGAGCGTAGTAAGCTAGCATCCGGTTACGAAGTGTGACAGTCATTGGTATAAGTACAGAGATGGTGGCGCTGTTTTTATGAATCAAGTCTTTCAGAAATTCTCATTCCAAGCTGATGGGTCCAGGATATATTTCCACAGAAGCGGCCGTCCTTCAATATTCAGATTGGGAGAAAATGTGCAAAAGATAGAAGTTAACACTATAAGTGTCTTGTATGCCATATGTAGGTTTACTAATTTTACTAATTAGTAATTTTTTCTTGATTTGCCTGCTGAAATTGGGGCGCGTCTTATATACCCGTGCGTCCTATATGCCGTCAAATACAGTAATACATTTGCTTTTAATGGGCAATATTTAAATATATTTATTAAACACTTACCTCTAGTTCCTGTTCCATTTCGGTCTTTTTTTCAAAGTAAGCTCTGTTAAAATATAAATAAATATTCCATTACTTTTTAAATAAAACAAATGTTCATCATTCTGCGGGTAAAGGTTCTTGTCTCGACCAAGCAGGAATTGCCTCTGCGAAAATAAACTGATTTTCATTGATTAAACTTTGGTAAGAGGGTCTAGCCTTGAAATTTACAGCACATCTGCGCGTCTCAAGAAAGCGTTAGCGTTTCAAGAAAACTAAAGTTTGAACATGTCTGGACGTGGTCGGGTACAAATATTTGCTTGACTCATTACCCAAGCGACACAATGCGGACATTCTGAAAATTAAATTGTTACAATTCTTATGTAAACTGATTGATAGATTGATTTCTTTCTTTAACGGTAAATCAACAACTTATGTGTCATTTAATGCTGAAATTTTTTTTTTTTTTGAAAGTTTTGAAGTAATTTTTTAATATTACTATAAATAGGTTTTGTTGCTAATTTTACTATGAATATGTATTGTTGCTAATTTTACTATGAATATGTATTATTGCTAATTTTTGTATATACATATGTATTGCTGGTAATTTAAAAATCTATTTATATACATTCATATTATTTTGTTTTTATTTGGGGTTTCACTATTTGCTACCAACAGGGCGGACCTGCGAACAACAGCAATTAAGAGGTGGTTTCATGTTTTTCAAACCCTCCGATCTCCCGATCAGAGGCCTTGCTGCCAGGTGTAGTTTATCGTCAAACCCTGGACTTTGATGTAAAATGAAGGATCTAAAATCACTGGATTATATCGCCTTTTCTACTTGTCGAAATTGACTGATGACATATAAGTAAGGTAATAATGAGGTTGTGCTGTGGTATTAATATAGATGTGAGAGCAATCAGAGGCTGGCAGAATTTAACAGCATTTGGTCGCAAAATGATTACGTGTCAGCAAGAAGAGGCACGCTAATACCAAGGTGGTAAATGTTCTAAGATTTTAGGAATAACAATCACAGTGACGTTAACAATGAAATGAAGAGGAACGTTGTATTGAATCATATTCCAACTAAACGCCTGGCACAGTGGATAAAGGCGTTGGTTAGATCCAGTGACAGACCGAAAGAAGGTGAGTTCAATACCTGGTTAAGGCAGTGGAGGACTTTCAGAGAGAAAATTAGCAGGAGATAACTGATAACTGACATTCATCAATATGGCACGTGGAACTAGAACAGTCTACCCCAGTGATCGAAATAAAGGGTTCAGTTCGAAATTCCAACCACCTGAAGAAGGCCGGAGCGTACAACGGCCGAAACGTTGTGACAAATATGGCGACAAAGATGAGGACAATAGTCCGACTAATGTAAATACTGTACATAATACCTCATCTGAGAAATATAGACAGACTTTGAGAGGCGTGTGTCATGATAAATATCTCATCTAATTGGAGTTCGAGAATTCTTTTTGCTTTATGCAAAAATAGGGGGCTAAGATTGCTATCTGTTTGAAATGCAAGCTGATTAGGATACGTGGTCATCAAAATGATGATCAGAAATGTTGTTGTCAAAGTTTGGGAGTGGTATAGTTCACTGAGTGTGGCTAACACAAAGTGTTATGTGGTTCATGTGTCAGGAATTCTATTTATTGGATCTTAATGGGAATCAAAAATGTTCAATGTACAAGGATAAAATTACTGTGAGCGTTTGTTTGTTTGTGTGTGTGTGTGTAGAAATAGTTTTAGTGTTTCCTACTCTGTCGAAATGTGCAGGATAATGTGATATAAAGTAAAAGCGATAATAGTAATAATAATGATGATGATGGCAAAATAAACAAATATTGTATATGAGTAACCTATGTGTGTATAAATATGTTACGGTTCAGTAATAGTTGAAATACTTAACACTTTGTTGCCATTAGCCATGCTCATTGAACTATGATGCTTAAATAAGGTTAAATAATATTTGAAAAAAAAAAGATTTTTTCTACTGAACTCATATTTCGTATTACTTATGTTGTTGCCATAAGGTTATGACTGATTGTTTCTTCTATCTTCTCAAGAGATGCAATCTTTAAAATAAGAAATGTTTTTTCTTCGAAAATTTGGAAGTGAATGAAAAAGAAAAAAATGGTCATTTTATGGATCGGCTCAGCTCATTCTCAGCAACATGAGTCACCTAGACAATTCTATTCTCATCAACAACTATGCTACATAATTCTCTTTCTCCTTAGCAAATTAACCATCGTAACGACAAATATATATTTCCCATATTATTATTACGTTATTTTTAGTGGATACCCGTATTTTAGTAGACGCTTAATTTATTTTAAACAGCATTTTATTTCTTCTACTGGTCTGCACATTCGTTAAACTTATTAAAGAAAATGCACCCTCCAGCACAATTCGAACCCGCGTCCACCATTGCAGGAGAAACGGCCTTTTTATCCGACGTGTTTTGACCACTCAGTTTCGAAGAGCTTCACAATCAAGCAATATAAATATCCATTAACGAATTAGAAATATTTCACATGTGTAACAAAAATTTAAACTCCAAGTAACAAGTCGGGTTATCTGCCTTGAAATCTGCCGTAACACAACCTTATACGACGAGAAATCTAAGTTAACTCTCATTCTGTATATATATATGTCCGCAGCCCACACATATATTAAGGTATTCAGAAAGCAATTAGGTATTTCATCGCTTTAAAGTTATATATCAATTAACCAATGTAGAACGATGGTTGAATAATAAGAAGCAGAGTCTAGATTTATCACATCTCGACTATTCAGCAGTGTGTCATTTATAGTGCATTTCAGATTTTAACTTATCGAAGATAACTTGACAGTAGCAATATATTCGACATTGATTACTGTGTGAATTTCAAAAGATACTACTGTTACAGAGGCATTTAAAAACGTATGTGTAGTGTAGTAAAGTAAATAGTGTGAAGTAAAAAGCCCACGAATATCAGTTGTGGTTTTAAAGATTTAAAAATGGCGATTGTGATATATACTGTAGCCTCGCTCTGAAAACCGTCTTAATTTGCATGAAAACATTTTGAAAGAAAGAATTAAAATGGAGTCACATTAAAAGCCCCAGAGATTTGGCGCAAAAATTTAATATGTCACATTCGACTGTCTACGAACAAAAAAAAAAAACTTGCAAAAAGGAATTTGAGTTCCTCGTGAACTTTCACTTCAGGACTGAACACAACATTCCACTATCTGCAGCAATCTTTTAATCAGGATTGCAAGGAACTCATTTTTGAATTGCTTTATTACAGATGATAAAAAATGAGTTTTGCATATGAACATAAAATAAAATAAAATAAAAATAAAAACAAACAAAAACAAACAACGATTATCACAAAATAAGAAACTTGTACTAAAACCAGCATTCTATCCACAGTTCTTACTCTGTCTTTCACTTCCATTACGAGAAGTTGGAACATGGAAGCCGTTTCTTAAACGGAACATGATCGGTAAACGTAGTATGATAAAAAGTGTCCTTCATTAGTAAACAAAAAGCTTTTGTCAATACAGATTTAGGATCTATAAATTTCCATTCGTATCAATAAAACTTTTGATATGTCGCAGAACATTCAGGAACCAAGAAGTTGGAAACAGGGTTTTTTTTTTCAGGTGAAAACCCAAATTTCTTTTAACGCAAAATTGATAATTTATTTTTCCATTTGGTTGCAGCCGTTGAAAATCGAGATGATTATGTTTTTAATAAATAACATTCAAACTAAATAAATAACGTTCAAACGCCGTTTCCTGTATGATCACCGAAGTTAAGCAATGTCGAGCTTGGTCAGTACCTAGATGGGCGACCGCTTGAGAATACCAGGTATTGTAAGCTTAGAGGTGCAGGTAAGTATAATGGATAATGGCTCAGAATTCTTAATCCCAATACCGATTTCAAATTCTGGTTGGGTTCGTTATATTCACTTACGCATAAATATACTTGGTAACGATATGAATCCACCTCTTCTCCCACCAGCTATGGGTTAAATAGTAAGAATTGTATCACTAAACCATTATTTCCCCCCACACCAATTCTTACAATCTAAAATCTGGCTTTAAATAACCTGCAAAGTTTTGATAAGCTGTAGAAAACGAATCAATCAATAACAAAAACGAAAACATCTAAATCTAAATAGTGTGAACGCAGAAATTAAGATTATCATTTTCTTGCCTTAAGCAATCATCAGATTATGTGTCCAGGGGTGTCCAACCTTTTTTCAAAGACGGCCAGATTTGATGATGTAAATATTCGTGAAGTCCAAACATTCTGTTTGGCATTCTTTGAACCATTAAAATGAAAAAATTTATTGCAAATAGCATATTTTCATTTCTTTACATGGATGACAAATAAATTTAAACAGGTCTTACCAAAATTACTCAGCTTATCGTATCTGAAGCCCATATAAGATGAAGTAAAACATGTCTGAGAAAAAAGAATTTCTAGGAAGCTATATTTCAGGTTAATTTTAAACATTACATATTTTTGGTAATTAACGTTGTTTGTCAACTTTTAAGTTAAATCCATATGAATAGGTGCATAACACCAACATTCATCTTATTAAGAAGTAGAAAAGCAAATTTAATTCACTAAGATTTTAGAATGACCAAAACAAATAACTTGCCTGCACTAATGAATGATAGTGAGATCTGGACTACAGTATGCAGGCCAAGTCTGGTTCAAAGGGAGTGATTTTAGAAATTGGCTGGAAAAGGCCAAGGTAGGCTTACACTGCCAGAGGGCGGCTACACAATGATGCAGCCATCTTTTGGTAAAACATGAAAATGCATAACTTAGGTGTGTGTTTTATATACTTTGATTGACAACACTAGTGGGCCGTAAGTAATAGATTCTATGACAGAGGATGGGGGCCAAATAAATTGGACCCCGAGACGGACTTTGGACATGTTTGCTATAGGCTCTTTGTATGGGCCCCTGGAAGCCTGATGTGAAATGGGGAAGAGGAAAACCGATTTTTCCATTTTTGTTTGTTTGTTTAGGACTAATAAATTACAATATTCATACTCTTCATCTTGAGTTTGTTTTATTTATTACATATTTAAATGTTTTTTTTTATTTATTATTATATTTAAATGAATTAATATTCTTTATCTATTTTATAATTTGTAAAATGTTACATCCATTCTAAACTTTAGCATTTGAAATAATAATTATAAAACTTAGATTTTACAAATAAACAAAAGCGTTTAACTCGAATAACGATTAAAGTATATATATATATATATATATATATATATATATATATATATATATATATATATATATATATATCGGATTAATAAATGAAATAGCTTTTGTTTACATTATGAACTGTCGGGAATCTAAAGAGGAAAGATGTTCTTAAAGACAATATACAGCCTTGCTTAATCGCAAAGCTCTTTGTAGCCGAGTAAATTAAAACACGTCGGATCTAAGGGCGCTTTCTTTGGTGTTTTCTCTCTGCATCACTTTCGTTCGTTTGAATCCTGCCAGAAAGGGAGCATTTTTCGTAAAATTTCTCCAACATTCTGGCCGGTAAACGGAGAGACTACTTAAATATGGGTATCTACTGAAAATAACGTTTAAAGTGATAAAAATATCGTATTAATAAATAAAGAAAAAAACATTATTTCTTTAGAAATTACTTTGTTTACGTTTAGAATACTTATGAACGTTCGAGAATATAAAACGAGGTTAATGACAGTAAATATAATATATATATATATATATATATATATATATATATATATATATATATATATTAAGGCATTAAAAACTAGAAATGTTGTATTGCAGGCCATGATAAGTTTAAAATAAAACACACACCAGTCGACTGGTTTCGTCCCCTCTCGTCAGAACTGTTAACGGGGAATTTAGATTATGAGGAAAAGAAAAAAAAATCTGTCATGGGTGACATGAATGAATGGACAGGGAAGGAAGGAGAAAAAATAATAATCTAAATTCCCCGTTAACAGTTCTGACGAGAGGGACGAAACCGGTCGACTGGTGTGTGTTTTATTTTAAACTTATCATGGCCTGCAATATAACATTTCTAGTTTTTAATGCCTTAATACGCTTTTTGTACGTTTCAAACCTATTTAAATATATATATATATATATATTTGTGGGTGTGTGTGTGTTTGTGTAATAATAAAATAGAATCAACTCATAATTTATGCACACGTGATCATGTGAAAAATTAAAACATTCCCACCATCCATATGTATGTGTATATATATATATATATATATATATATACCATGGAATATTAGTGTTTAAGCCTTTTTTATTATATATATATATATATATATATATATATATATATATATATATATATATATATATATAAAGTGAACAGTGAAGTCAACACTTAGAGGCGACAGGCTGTTTCATGCTACACGCAATCGTCAGGCCACATGGTCACTTTTATATTTACACACGCTCTATCTCTGATATTGAGCCCTTTATCCGATAAATATAGCACACCTTAAGATTATATTTCTTCATATATATATATATATATATATATATATATATATATATATATATATATATATATATATCATATATATAACACTTTAGTAACATCAACTATGAACATGTTCATAGTTGATGTTACTGAGTGTTGTTTTTTTTTTTTTTTGTATTGTGTTGACCGTGTTTTGATAAAAAAAATCACACTCCCATAACTCTACATACATACATAAAAATCTACACATTCAGTTAACACACAAAAAAAATAATAATTAAAAAAATCATGCTTGATAATGTCTAAAAGAATAGCCAAAAGCTATGTGTGTGTCTGTGTGTGTGGGGGGGATTTCTGATTAGAAATACTACTTTCCTAATCTTCTGTTCCCGGAAGTTAAAATAAAAGACAACCTGAAAACACTTGCATAATTTTTTTCACCATAACCGTGTACCACAAACTGAATCTTTCTATTTCATTTTAAAGAAATTATTTGCTCTTTGGTTTGAATAAAAGCCCAATTATTTTTTATTAAAGTATTAGTGTTCATTGTATTACGTTTTACTATTATTTACTTTGTGAGATAAAATAAAATGAGGTCATCCTAATGTAGGCATCCTAGGCAATCATTTGGATAAACAGAATGCCTCCACATCAATTTTTGACGAAAGTTTTCTATGACTTTCCAATAGTTTTATTCTATATTGTGATATTCTTTAAGATGGCCAATTACCTCGCCTTTTCTATTGACTTCGGGTACAATTTTTCGTTCATTTGTAACTGGAGTTCTAATTCCGCAAATGTTTTGGCCGTCCGATGATGCTCTTCTTGTCGATTCCTTTTCTCCTTTTCAGCTTCCGCCACCTACAAAAAAAAAACCGGAAATCTTATGGAAACTCATGTCATTGCTAGTTGGTATATCGTTTGTTTTACATTTTAATTTTGTGTATGAATTATAGATAAACGTGAAAAATGGCAAAAAATCTGCCACTTACAAGAATAGATTAGGTAAAAAGTGGAACAGCAAAATTGTTCAAATCGTCAAACTGCAAAATTTTCCAATTGTTAGATTAAAATTTAAACCGTTGTATCTTAGAAATGATGAAAGATATCTTACTGGGATTCTCCAAGGTTTTTATAAAATATGGACTCTACATTAAGCAATAAGAATGTATAATTAGTTTCCAAGCTTAACAGAAGAATCTTGGTGAAATCGATCATAAACGAAAATTTATTAATCATAGCTTAGGATCGGAAGCTCATGAAGGATTGAAATGAAGTTCATATATATATATATATATATATATATATATATATATATATATATATATATATATATATATGTGTGTGTGTGTGTTGTGTCTGTATTTAGGCAGCATTTTTCATTGATACATGTTTCTTTAAATAATATAGACAAGTGTTGTCTATTTATTTTATGTAAATTCTTTTCAGACTATGGTCTGATAAGCTTAATAACATTATCATTAAACGAAGAAAGAAAATCACAATATTGATCCATATTTTTTAATCTTATCGGAGCTTTCGGCTTACATAAGCCATTATCAAAGATGACAATTACATTACAAACAGACTATCATCACTGTCTTGTCCGTGTATTACTTAATATATTGTAATTGTTAAATGAACCCCTAAAATTGGTTACTCCTCCAGAAAAGACATAATGTGTGTCTTGGTTGATTGAAGCAAAATCGGATACGCAGACTCAGCGAAACTACAGAACCAAGTATGGAAGAGATCCACCGTCATTTCCGTCAATTCGTATAATGGCACAAGAAATTTATGAAGACAGGGACAGTGTTTGGATAAAGGGAGGAGGGGAGGTTCTAAGAAGATCTGAGGAAAACATCGATCGTGTAAGACAACCTTTCAGCGTTCTCCGACAATGTCCATCCATACTACTGCCAGACAGAGCTGACATGTTCGAGAGTAAAAAAGTCCTACATAAGAACTTGCGATGGTACGCTTACAATGTGCAATTCTTAAAGACACTCATATCAAATGACAAAGGCTGTGCCTCAGCGAACATGGCAAGAAATCGAGTACCGTCTTGGTGTACTTCATGCAACTAATGGCGCCCATAGAGAGGTGCATTAGATTAGTTAAAAAAACCTTCAATATCTGCTCCTAATTTTGTAACAATTTCCACATATTTGTCTGTTCATTTACTTTTTGTAATAATTTTTTATATTTTATAGAGACTTTATGAATACCCTGTATATATATATATATATATATATATATATATATATATATATATATATATATAATTTATTTAAAATATGATTCCAAATCGCTACGTAAGAGGTCTCATGTTTCAAAACAATGAAAACTTCAATATAATCCTTTTAAATTGAGTTTAAATTAAAATGGGCTCCGTTCCATCTTCAAGCGAAATTTTGTTGGAATAACGTATATCTGAAATTTACTTGTTTTAAAAAATTGAAATCAAAATCTCCATGGTAACAGCAAGGGCGAATTGTTTAAATTGGGTAGGCGAGTGTAGGGTGTTAATAATAAGTAGCGGTATAGAGATACTTTCAAGATGTCAAGTCGGGGAAAGGTGGGGTGTCTAAAATGAAACGGAAGATGTATTAACCTTCGTCTAGTTTGTTTGTCTATGGAGATTTATTTATTTTATTTTATTTTATTTTATTATGAAAGGAATTGTGCATATAAAAAAAAAAAAACTTTCGTAACGTTTGTTTTTTTTTGACGACTTATAAAGGGTTATCTATTATGTAAGGTATTTAAACTACTTATTTGGGCTATGGATTATGAAGGGTGTTATGTTGTATGCATGTTTGTAGTTAATTATTCCTACTATGAATCTGAAGATTGGGCTATTTGTTAAACAAGTTATTATAAATTTTTATTTTTTATTTTTTTTTTTTTTTTTTTTAATGATTTAAACCAAAAAATCTGATGATGCCTACAAAAAACCGTTAACTCGTGTCTATTATTTAATAGATTATTATTATTTAGAAGTTTAATAATGTGTAATATATATATACAGGGTGTTCATAAAGTCTCTCTCTCTCTCTCTCTCTCTATATATATATATATATATATATATATATATATATATATATAACTTTTTCGTATAGAGAAAAAAGTTTAAAACCCTCTTCCTAGAAGCAAGATATCTGACTGATGTCAAACCCAAACATGTCAATTGGACGTCTAGTCCCACTGAGTAACTGTGATATAGCGAAATACTCCGTTTGTGAATGACTATATATATGATCCCGAAAATCCGGTTAAGCTCTATAAGGAAAGGGGGATTTTAAAAAACAGGGGCTCCTACTGCTATTACTCTTCAAATAAATTGAATTGAGTTCGTTAGCGTATTTCGTATAGAGAACAACGTTAAAAATCGCCTTCCTTTCTGCCGTGCGATGATGGCTTGGAGGTAAGACATCTGATTTGACCTTTGACACTTTTGATCCCGGCCTGAAGCAATCGGACGTCTAGCCACACCGAGGAGCCGTGATATACATTTGTGATATGGCAACAAAGATGAGGACAATAGTCCGAATAATGTAAATAATATCCATATCTATATTTATCTATAGCTCCCGCTCTCTCTGTATATATATATATATATATATATATATATATATATATATATATATATATATGTGTGTGTGTGTGTGTGCGTGTGTGTGTGTGTGTGTGTGTAATACGCCGACAGTACAACTCGGAGTTTCATGCTCAATGCAATCTTTAGTTATCGAATTGAATTTACACCGTTTGGATAACACCGTTTGTTTAATAGGGTCTCGCGAGATATGTTGTTTTGTTTTTTTTTTGGTGGTGGGGTGTTATAACAGTAGATAAATATTTAATTGCACTCTAATCTAATCTTGGATTTAAATTGAGGGGCAAACTTATATTAAAGTTGGAAAATAATTATTCTAATTCTAATTTTCTTTAAAAACGGACGTTGTAATCAAAATAAGTTTAAGGATAGGAGTGTAACTCTATTTTTTGCTTAAAAATATTGATAAATTAATAAAAATTAAAATTATTTGTAGTGAAAAAAATGATAATAAGAGTAAAATAATATAAAATTAATATATACTTAATAGCTCTGTTATTTAGCAGTAAATACTGATTTTCTTACACCAAATGATCAATTAAGCTGAAAAATCGAATCATCCTTGATAATGGCTAAAGTTATAGCCGGAAGCGCTCGGAAATATAAAACATTTGGACAGTTCTTACACACCCTTTGTCCAAAAAAGAAAGCTTTTGTTCGAACACAAGAAAAATTAAATAAAAACTTAACCGTAGTACTTTGTCTGTCGTTTTTAATGAAACATACATAATGGAAGGATTGCTGCCTAAATATACAACTATATATATATATATATATATATATATATATATATATATATATATATATATATATATTTGTGTGTGTGTGTGTGTGTGTGTGTGTGTGTGTATTTGTATTTGAGCACTTCCACGTACATTTATTTGTTTATATTTATCTATTTCAGCATATATATATATATATATATATATATATATATATATATATATATATATATATATATTGTCCACTTATATAATTTTTCCCGATGGGTTAAGATTCAGCCAACTTCATATCATATTTGCTGGAATAATCTCGGGAAAATTAAGAATCAATCTCTTTCTCCCCAACTAGGGACAGACAGGGTTCTATATCCTTGGTTGCCAACCAGAGGATGCCAAATTTGAATTCAAGACCACCCTGAGAGAGAGTTCATACGACACTAATGGCTTACGTTCCGTAATTAAAATAAGTTTAAGGATAGGTGCGCATGTGTAAAATATATTATTTTCTTTTAAACCGATTTCAACTCCTTTATATACAAGAATATTTTGAGGGTGACCTATTCTGACTTGTCTTAGATTTGCACCAAACATTGTGGTCAAAATTGTAGAAATTAAACTTACTCTGATCGTAGCATGATTCAGCATTTCCTGCCAGGCAGTAGATAATTCGGCTGTTTGACCTTCATGGGTCAGCTTTTCTTCAGCCAACATGATGGTCTCTTTGGCCGCTCGATATATACTATTGGCCATCTGGTAAAGGCCGGCTGCTCGAATTGTCTCCTCTTGAGCCTTCTTTGATTCGGCCTTTAATTCATAATATGCTCGAGCTCGGGAAATCGTTTTGCGCATGTTCCGTGATAGGCTTTTTAGTTCCTGAGACGATTCGCTTAGAGTTGATCTGTGTTTCGTTCGAGCTTCCTGTAAATATCAAGAAAAATTCTTTGAAACACATTTATTTATCAGCTCATATTGTGAAAGTTTTACTTATCAAAATGACTGCAAATATTATACGCTGCCTTCCGCGGAAGACACGATCGATAGAAAGTCACGATATATCCAGCAGTGAAGATATATATAGGTAGTAATTGCATTATATATACGAAGAGCTATTAAGTTCCTTGTCCGGTACCGCTCGAAAAAATTGTCCAAATAGCAAACCATAATCATTTTTATGCATGTATATGCATATCTATCTATCTATCTATCTATCTATCTATCTATCTATCTATCTATCTATCTATCTATCTATCTATCTCAGTCTGTTCATATCTATCTATCTATCTATCTATCTATCTATCTATCTATCTATCTATCAGTGGTTTCTACCATGAGACCCGGGTTCAAATCACACCATGGTCGATTTGGCGGGAAGGAGACTCCCAGATGTTATCAGTCTGGAGGAGGCGATCCCAGCGTGCGACACCTTTGAAAAGTGCCTTAAAATCATATTGGGTTAACGGAAACCTTGGGAGCCGTCGATGGCTATGCTGGCACGAAGTCACATGTCATCGTGACCGAGGTTTTGAGCGTGCTGGCCTTGTTCAGATTGTTGATTACGTTAGATAACACGCTATATCCCAGAAACTGTAACTAAGGTCTGCACAGCATAGTTGCTGTATTAACCACAGGTGGCCTCTGTGGGTGTTGAACAAACACAAAATCCGCCTGAGTGAGCATCTGCAATGGGGATTAGATAGCCGCCCTATCTATCTATCTATCTATCTATCTATCTATCTATCTATCTATCTATCTATCTATCTATCTATCTAAAGTCTTGGATATGATGATCAACTAAATCCAGCAACAAGGCCTCTGATCGGGTGATTGGAGGTTTTGAGGAGAATGGAACCACCTCTTAATTGCTGTTGTTCTCAGGTCCACCAACCCGGGATCGTAGCACCTGTCAGGGTCCCAGCTATGGGCTAATAATGAACCCCAAAACAAAACACCTCGAAAGTATAAAAATTTTATTATAAAAATAAAAGCAATATATTTTTATATAAAAATTAGCAACAATACCTATTTATAGTAAAATGACCAACAATACATTTTATCTGTAGTTGAAAACATACATTATATTTAGTTGAAATCATAAAATTGTGTTCACAATATTTAGATATTAAATATCCATAGAGATTGATATAAACAAAACATCCGCCATCCAAACATGAAAAAATACTTTCATGACATTAATCCATATAATATCCTAGAATTTCAAAATATAACTTGAGCAAAACTACAACATAAAACTTACATAACACTGCCATTATCTATCTATCACATGTAAGAAAAATACAGAGTAAGAAACAAAAACAAAGCTACTCGAATTTCAGCGTAGAATTGAAAGATCTTCGGGCCAGGTTCAATTTTAGTCTTTGTATTGTGCATTCTTTATTACCAGATTCACTATAGGTGAATCCAAATAACTATCATTGTATTTCGTTATATATATATACAATGACACGCATAAGTATTGGATACATGTTATTTTCTGTTATAAAAAAATGGATTCAACCATGAGTTTGTAATTTTCCTTCCACATACAACTAAAACAACTTTACGAGATATTACTTACCAAATATCAGGCAAAATGGCAAACATAAAACTAGAGTTATAACAGAGAATAACATGTATCCATAATTATGCGTGCCATATATATATATATATATATATATATATATATATATATATATATATATATATATATATATATATATATATAGAGAGAGAGAGAGAGAGAGAGTAACCACTTTCACCCCCACTCTTCCTTCACTATCTTAGATAATCAAAACTCACTGGGAAATCCTACATCTCATACCAGGCTTAAAACCATTGTCTGAAGGAATTTCTAGCATATCGTGGACCAAAGAACCTTAAGGAAATTATAGGTAGTAACCAAATTTCAAACGATAAGGTAACACACAATAGACAAAGAATAAAAACAACAGGATTTTCACAACCATGTAACAACAAAAGATGCCTATGTTGTAACTCCATTAGACATACCAATTCGTTCACTAGCTCAGTCACTAAGACTACTTTCAATATCTACCACAACTCTACCTGTAGAAGTTATAACGTAATTTACTTATTAGAATGCGCACTATGCAAGAAACAATATGTGGGAAAATCTGAATGGCCCTTTCACTACAGAATTAACAATTACCGGAATCGGATTAAGTCTGCTCACCACGAAAAGATGATTACCTGTAGAACAACATTTCCGCCGAGAGAAATATAACTTTAATAGTCATGCAAAATTTATTATTATTGAAAAAATAGAAACAGACAGAAAAAATAATCTTAGAAAAATACTAGAGGAAGATGAAGACAAATGGATTTTGCACCTCAAAACATTTTGTCCAGACGGATTTAACAACAGACTAAACAACGCAAATAGAATTAGATATAATCCCATAAATCAACCCCCACCCACATTTCTGAACCACACTAGACAGACATGTTTGTAGAGGTGTCTTTCACATACACATCCTCGCACAAATATATGCACATACGCACATCACACACACCACCAAAGACTAATAGATAACATACACTTAACACTCACATACCCTTCGCAGCAACCAATAAAGCTGTCAAAATGACTAAGGATGAAATTCGGAAACTCATGAATCTTCCAGCCTCTATTTTTAAAAGAACTTGAAAGAGAGCGTCTAACAAGGACTGATAAAAATTAATGATAAAAATGATGATGATCATGTTGTCCGAAACCAGTGTAGGAACCTAATTTAAATAATAAAAAAAAAATATTAATATACAACCCAGTGTGTCTGAAATTTTATTTTTGAACATGTTTTTATTGTTCAAAACACACATACATATATTTAGCAAATATTACTAATACTTACAATATTCGGAGTGTTATCCTCATCATCATTGCCATATTCACTACGTTTCGGTCGCTGTACGCTTCGTGATTGAAATTTCGAATCGAACACTTTATTTTGGGTAGATTATTCTAGTTTCACGTGTCATGCCTCTTCCGGATGTCTCAGTTATTTACCTTTAACTCAACAGTCCACGTTTTTGTTCACCCCTGCTGTAGCCTGGTATTAAACTCACAACGCTTTGGGTACAGTCACTGGATCTAACCAACGACTTTATCCACTGGGTCATATGTCTTTGAGGAGATCTGTGTATGAATTTCTGGGACTTATAAACCTATTGTATCAGCGACCAATTTCTTTTACTAGTGCACCTATGGGAAATTTTTCTGTTATGGCACGTGGAAATAGAAGAATCTACCCCGGTGGGCGAAATAAAGGGTTCGGTTCGACATTCCAACCACCTGAAGAAGGCCGGAGCGTACAGCGACCGAAACGTTGTAAATATGGCATGAAGATGAGGATGACAGTCTGCAGACTATAAATAATGTCAGTCAGTTATGTGCCATGCTTGATACACCCTTAGGTGATCATATATCTTTCGATTCATGACTGACTAGGCAGATTTTTCACGCAGTAGGTTGCCATTTCTTTTTGCGGTAGGCCAGTTGTCATCCAAGGCTATAGATCCCGGTCTGTCCTGCTATTTACCCATACCTGGGGGGAGAAGAAGTGGATTCATACCTTTCCCAAGGGTATTAACACATAAATGAATGTAATGGATCCGATTATGTGCTAATAACTTTGGTAAATATTGTAAGTTATCATAATACCTCATCTCATCTCATCTATATATATATATATATATATATATATATATATATATATATATATATATATATATAGAGAGAGAGAGAGAGAGAGAGAGAAGAGATAGATAGATAGATAGATAGATAGATAGATAGATAGATAGATAGATAGATAGTTTTTAAGCTATATCTGTTTCATGCTTGAATACATGAAACAGACTGTCGCTTCTGGTCATTGCTTTCAATCAGCACTTTTTTTTTATATGCCACAGCTGCATTGCGTAAAGTAGAATAAAGAACTTTTTTTTTATTTAGCTGAGATTAATTCCTTATATTGTCAAAATCTTAGGCTTCTACACGTATTTTTATTTAATAATTTTATTAATATATTTTATTTATATTCATCTATATTGTATATTTTTTCGGTTTTAAACTTTGGTATTTGAATTTGGAGATTATTTATTTTGGATTTGAGATTTTATTTAATCTTTGGATATATACAGTATGACCCACAGAATGGTCGCTCATGGATTGAAAATTGAATATCTTTCATTCAAAATTGAATTTGTTCATTCAAGACAAAATTTCTTTCTTTCATAATAACTTCGTAGTCTTCTATTAGTTCAATTTTTATTTTTATTTTCGTTTTAATTCCATTTCATTTTTCTCCTTTCACAGCAAAAGAAGCATTTTCAATATAAAATGATTGCCATATATTCATATGTTACATGCAGGTTGTGAGTTAGTAAGTTTTCGGCAGTTCGAAACCATTATTTTGTAATGATTCATTGAATTAAAATGACGTATTTATCGTTAAATGAATTTTTAATGATCAGTCTATTAAACTGTCTCCAATTCCCAATCATATGGAGATTGTTTGCTTTAAGTTGTTTTAGCGCTTAGAATAAACAATTCGAATAATACGAAATTATTTGATAAATCGTTTTAGATGGAAAACAATATTCAGCGTTGAATAAAACAAACGGATTTAAAATATATTTTGTTATGCAATTTTAAAATTGATGTCATATGATATATATATATATATATATATATATATATATATATATATATATATATATATATCTGTGTGTGTGTGTGTTTGTGTGTATGTGTGTGTGTGAAATAAAGACAAAATGAAAACTAATCTTAGAAAAATCATTTTCCTTGAGTTCATCAGAGGACGAAATGCATC